CTGTAATTGACCTTAGGAATTAGTTGTATGGCATGACAGTCATGAGTCATCAGGTGACAACTCAGTTTTACCTTTTTTTTGGAGCAGTTATTAAGCAAATGCCACAGTTGTTAAGCAATCCCACTGTCTACTTTGGGACTTTTTTTGCTGGAAACCAGAAGTAAATGCCGATTTCTGACAAAACTCTCATAAATCACGGTTACATGACCACAGGGCACTGCGTATAGCCGCAAATGTGGCTGAGCACACAAAACACAGTCATGTGATTGCGAGGGAAGAGCTGATGTTGGAACTTTGAAACCTGGTTGCAAGTCCCTTTTTATGGGTGCATCGTAAGTTCAAATGGCCACTAAGTCAAGGATTATCTGTAGTTCTGCATTCATTTTTAAAGTTTAAATGTAGTTTTCACAAAAAGCTGTTAAAAAAATAGGAAGAAGTGATGTAAACCAAATATGTAAAGTGTTATCAAATGGTTGGCCAGTTTTATTAATGGGTTCATAAATGCTATAGCTAATGTAGAAATAAAGCATTCAAATGTTTTGAGAGATATTGGTATAAATGATGTGAATTCAAATGTAAAAGTTATATGACAGGAATATGTCAGTGATGTAATAAAAAGTGTTAATGCTTCTTGAAATAATTACAATATTGTATCAGAACTGTAAAATCTAGGAGGAGGAAACATGAAAGTGATGGGAAAATGCAGACAACAATGACAATGAGCAACTGAATTTTGGACTGGAATAATTTAGCATGAAAGTACTCGGTTTAATAATCAGAAAGTACAGTCGTTAGCATTCTCTATCATTATAACATTTTTACCCAGCCAGCTGTGACTGGAATCATTTAGGACCTTTTAACACAGTACAAGCAAAAACCTTAATAAATGCCTCTTCACTTCGGATATCAGGATTTCAAACAGGTTCATATATTTCTAACAGAAGCAGGAAATATTTAGGCCATGTGGTATTATGTCAGTGCTGAAACTTTTCCAAGATGTCTTCAATGAAAGCACTTTATTATCACAACATAAGATTTCCTGGCTGCAGCCTGTAAGTGGGAGGAAGAGGGGAAGTAGCTTGTATCCAATTTATCTTCGCATTCATTTCCTTATTTTGCTTTCTGTATTTAACAGATACATCTAGGTATGTGTCTGTGTGATGCTAGAGTCTTCCACTACAAGCTTTTCTTTGGAGGAGGAAATGTACAGCACCAGTTTTGCAAATAGCATAGCTGTAGTGTAACAATATGGTACCTCTATTAAATTTCGCTAACCACCAGTGTATGAATTTTCAAAAACTATCAAATGTCAATCACATGAAAGCTTTGATTCACAGGTTTCACTTGCATGTCACTTTCTTCTTGTCCAGAATTAAAATCGCCTCTCTTTAATGTAATGAAACATAGTGTGTTTATTACACAACTGTAAGGCTTTCCCTCTCCTTCATGGATCACTGCCTTGTCGTGGCAAAGGGGCTTGTGTAACTCAATGAAGCTATGAGCTATGCCGTGCAGGACCACCCAAGACGGACAGGTCATAGCAGAGAGTTCTGACAAAATGTGATCCACTGGAGAAGAAAATGGCAACCCACTCCAGTATCTTTGCCATGAAAACCCCATGGACAGTACCAAAGAGGAACATTGTCCATGGGGTCGCGATGGGTGGGAGACAATTTCGCAACTAACAACAACAAGGCTTTCCCATGGATTCATGAATATGTTCCATAGATAACTAAGGCCCAGAGTCTAATTTTCTATTTCCCAAAGTCTATGCCATGCCATCCATATGATGCTGAATTTCTAGCAAAAAGGAAGTCAGAATCCATAGAAATTAGGGATCTCAGCTCAGAGGCTCTAAAACAATTAGTAATGTTTATGTACCGGAGTGCTTAAGAATGTTCTAAAAGCACTTCACAAACATGATCTAATTCAAATGGAGCAATCAGTTTCCTGTTACATACTTAAAACACCTATACAAATACAGGCAACTACTTGTGGAAGCTTCTAATCTCTCACAACCGAAAAGGAAATTTGTTTAAGCCTTGCTGCAACCCAAGCATATATCAACTCTAGTTTACCAAGTGAGAAGAACTCTCTGCAATTTATCAATATTATTCTCCTACTGCAAGTTATGTATATGCTTGAGGCTGACAGTGGCTTCCTTACATCAGTTTCCTCAGTCATTCCACGCAGTCCTAACTCTCAATGAATTTTACATGATTTATGTCTGAAAAAAATCTGTTTAGCATTGAGCTGGAGAGGTAGATAATTTCTCACTGTTCCAGAATCACAGAATGGGACGTAAGTCTATTAATAAAAGACTGGCAAAAACAACCTTTCTATCTGAGAAGAAGAAAAGTTACAGCTTAGCAAGGAATTTTTTTAGGTCTAGGGAAATGCTGTTCTATTTCTCAAGTTATGAGCGATGGAGTCTTTAATATAATATGGTACTGTTCTCCATACTTTTAAGGCATCAGAAATCAAAAAAGCTGCCTCAAGTCTTTTACACTGTGGTATAAATGAGACACTTTTCTTTGTTTTCTCTACCTTTTGAGCCCTGTTAAATGTTTCTAAAAGGAAATGAAGATTTTGTATATAACAACAGCTATTATTTTCTTTGGCGATGTAGTTCCATGTTTCATGGCATTGAAGTCTACAGCATTTATGTATTAACTCTGGTCGGATCTCTTCTGAGTATTTAAGAATTTGGAAATAGTTTTCGGTTTCAGCTTTAAAAACCTAGCTAAAACTAGTTCACTTTGGGTCAGCTTTGCATATTTTTTTTCACCAGCAGTCCCTGCAAATGGCTAGGTAGACACTATACCGGACAAACAAAAATAGTATGGAAAACCAATATAGGTTTTAAAAGATGATTAAAATACCAAATTAGATTTGCATTTCAAATGGTATGCATGTCATTCTACTGCAAGACAGATGTGTACGTTGGTAAAGGTTTCCCCGTCCAGCTGTGTCCCACTCTAGTGGGTGGTGCTCATCTCCATTTCCTAGCCAGGTGAATCAGCATTGTCCAAAGACACTTCCATGGTCATGTGGCCAGCATGACTACATACCAAGGCGCATGGAACATTACCTCCTCACGAAAGTGGTAACTATTTATCTACTTGCATTTGCATACTTTCAAACTGCTAGGTTGGCAGGACCTGGGGCAAGTAATGGGAGCTCACTCCATTGAGTGGTACTTGGGTCTTCAACCCCCTGGCTGTCAGCTTTCCAGCCGACAAGCTCAGCATCTTTAACCGCCTGAGCCATCACGCCCCCTCAATCTGTACCTATGCCGGACCAAACAAGAATCTGCAAACCACAGCTTGGATAACAGGACTTCTGGGGATTGTACGTTTTAAAATTATTGAAGATTCTTGTTTTGGGTAACCCGTCTTGAGTGGTTTAGGGAGTTGTTTTGGTAGAACCAGCACCTTGAATCTGGCTTTGGTGTCCACCAGCAGTACAAATCTTTTAGACAGATAATGTGTGTGCATATGATGAGTCAGCACTGTTGAATTCTGGACAAGTTGCAGTTTCCAGACTAACTCCAAAGACAGCCCCACATAGCATCTGCTACAATTCCCCATCACTAGTTATCAACGCAATTCTGTTCTTTGGGAGTGGATGCAGCTAATATAGCCCCAAGTCACAGAGGTTACTGAGTAAGCGCAGACCTGTTCCTTTAAGGAGTACAATCCTAATCAGAGCAGGCAATTTAATTCAGAGGCCATTCACCCACTTGGCATGCATCTTAAATCGGGGCTTGGCTTCAACTGACTCTCATCTTGTCCATCTCTGCAATTAAGCATCAGTTTAGACTTCCCCAATGCTCTCCTGATTTCAACATCCAAAAAATATGACTTGGTTGTCATCAACGTTATCGGTGACACTTTCCTCCATCCCTTAAAACAGGGGTCCCCAACTCCCGGACCACTACTAGGCCGTGGCCTGTTTGGAACCTGGCCGTGCAAGCAGCTGGCCTGCTCGTGTGCGTACACAGCTCTACTTGTGTGAGTGGCAGGCTGGTGCGCACGTGTGCTCAACTTGAACAAGTGGCGGGCCGGTTCTCCTCTCCCACCCGCCAGGCCGTAAATGTTGGGGACCACTGCCTTAAAAGTCGTTAAAAACTTTGTAAAAGAGCAATGGATGAACCTCAAGGCAATCCCTAAATCCCTGGTTTATAATTTCTCCATACTAAGCTACTGCATAAAAGCGCTCCCAATTTCTAGCCATTTCATGAGGATGCTGACTTAGTGGTATCAAAAGCCACATTCCAGCAAGCATAACAAGAGTTGCCTAAGAGCAGTGGAGGCCAATTCTGTTCCAGACCTCAATCCAGAAAATGGATCATCTAGGTCAGGGGTCCCCAACCCCCGGTCCGTGACTGGTACCGGGCTGTGGCATGCCAGCAACCAGTCTGCACAAACAAGCAAAGCCCTATCTGCGAGATGCAGGCAGCACACAAAACCATGCACCCTCTGGTCTGTGGAAAAATCTCTCTCCACGGAACCAGTCCCTGGTGCCCAAAAGGTTGGGGACCTCTGATCTAGGTCACTAAACTTCTCTAAGGTAGTTTGCTTCACACACCTTTGCCAATAGGAGTACAGTAATTTGTACAATCTTCCAGTCCAAAGAGTTTACTTCTTGCCTTGGCTTCTTCTGCTAGTGTAGCCAGCTAAATATGTAAACCAGGAATTAAGCTTGTTACCCAAGCTGGTTATTTCCAAAAGCAGGTTTGTAGGCCAATGATACTTTAAAGGATGTAATAAGCCAGGATTGCCATTTTAGATGTGTGAAAGAATCCATCCCGGATTTAAATAGCAGAAGAAAGAAAATGAGAACAAATAGATTGCATACACTATCTATACAAAAGGATTTTAGAAACTCAGAAAATATTTTGTTAAAATGAGCAATCATTAATAAAACACTGGAAAACATTTATTTCAACAAGTGTAGTATGTGCATTTGAGTTTGTGTGTTTCTGAGAGAGAAAATTATAGAGAGTGACATAAAGCATTTAAAAGCATGTCACACATTAAATTAAATAATTCGCTGGATAAAATGATTTGCAATTTTAATGGTTTTAATTTAATCATATGTCCAGTTCAGGCATTCAGAGAACAGAAATTCAGAGAGCTTTCTTACCTTATTAAACTGAGCATTTTGCCAATAGTGGTACAAACATTTTGCAGCTGTTCAAGGCGGTAACAATTCCAACTTACGTCTCATTTTAATGAGTATTTGGAAATTTATAGCTGTTAACACCAAATATTTCCATTTGACTGAGGAACTGCGAATAAAAATTGAGCTCATTTGGTTTGTGACACTTGATACCCAGTGAGTGATTTTAACGAGGCATGAAGTGATCAGGAAAAAAAGTATTCTGCACATTGTTTCATTTAAAAACTGAGTAAAGTATAATTTCTTTATTCCTTTTACAGAAGTGGTATTTAAAATGTACACACATTACACTGGCTCATAAATAAAGTTTTTCAAAAAACTAAAAATTACCATAGTTGGTACAGCTAAGAATTGTCTTCATATATTACAAAGCAGTAGGAAAAATGATGAGGCTTGGTAAAAAGTGTATGAAAGTAGCATTTTCCTCATTCATAATTAATATGAAAAACTTCAAAGAATTTCTGCACAGTATGGCAATGCCAAGCGCTACATATTTTATTCTAAACAAATGATGTTTCATCAGGAACTCCACCAAATCTGAGGTCCAACATTATTTTATTTGTCTAAGGTGAAATGTCCTATTATGTACAAAAAGAGTTACTTTTCAGTTTGTCACAATCTGTTAAAAACAATGATCTATTGCCTGTAAGTAGGAAAGTTCTCATCATGGTTTTTCAAGGTCAGCCGTAAATATGAGTAATAAAGAAATGCGATGAAGAGACAGTATTTGTAGGATTAAATTTGGAAAAGTCCTTCTTTTATAAACATAATGCATACAATATGTAGCATCTCTTTGAAAAAAGTCCTAAGACAATATACCCTAACACACAAATACTCTTCTTCCTACTGTCTAAGAAACATAATTGGATGGTCTCACAATGAACATTAACTTCCTTTCAAATTCGTATGGATTAAATGACAGCATCTATGTACAAAAGCAGAAGCTTTCTTAGAGAAAATTAACCTTACATTATCTGTACACCTGAGCCTGTACTTATATAAGAAAAGTGTGAACACGACAGCAATGTCTAATAAAATTAACAGAAAAGATTTTTGCATAGCAGGGTGAGGTTAAACCCAAGGGAAGCTTATCCATAATCAGATAAATTCCAGATCATTGAAGGGCAAAAATTCTGAATTAGTGCAAAATCTAGTTAAAATAGGTATAATAGTCAGAAACCAACTGCTGCTGAAGAAGAATTTTATTATAATTGATTAAAAACAAATAGAATCACACTTTGGGGGGGCCACTTTGTCCCTCCTTTCCCTTTCCCACATTTCCCTTCTGTACTCTGAGGATCTTACACATTAAGAACAAACCTCACAAACATGTTAGTGAACATTCAAACGACACCTATATGTGGAGAGAACAATGATCTCCATTTATTTGTTTCATATACATCCATGTTTTGAATTTTTTTTTTAATACAAAAAGAAAAAAAAAGTTAGAATCTGACAAATGTTTACAAACAAGATACCTTCAAATAGATTTTACTCAGATCAGTCCGTTGCAGAGTAAATGATATTCTACTGTTATATTCAAGGCAACAAAGTCTGTAGTCCATGACCACTTCGCCCAACTTTAATGCAAGCTTAATTGGTTTCCTCTACCGTGAACGATAAACTCAATATTGATTCCCAGTTGGTTTGTGCACATGTGTACATAGCAGCTCCTTTCATAGAAAGAAAAGACATCTAGAGGTCATCTTGTACTTTTACCTACAGGAATCATGGTAAGATACAGAATGGGTAACATACAACCAGGGCTGGATTTATAAGGGGGGGGGGGAGATAATCAGCTGACATATGAGGGCAGCAATAAAAAAGCGTCCTTTTGCAACAATAAATAAATACAGTCTAAAGTTCTCTGTGTGGAATTTATAAACCAGCTTCTTCACTGAAGAACAGATGTGGCATTTCCATGGAGTTAGAACTTGACCCCATTTTACGGTTATCCTGTTTTCTGTTGCTTGTTTTCTTTCCTGTCCTTCAGCAAAATATTTCCCTGTTTTTGCCACAATAGCACAATTCGATCTTGACAAGAAAACGACGCTGCTGATTTTCATTCTTTCGTCCTTTGGACAAAATTAGCCAAGAATATAAATCTGATGTTACTGATAAAAACACAGTTTACATCAAGACTTGTCAGGACACCCTGACTAAAAACCTCTGGCTCCCCAATTTAAAAAAACTCAGGCAACCAGATACTTGCGGTTTGTGGTACAATAACACATAGAACTTTAAGAAGCTGTCGACTGCAGTTTGTTGTTATGAGACCTGTAGGATGCAGAAATGGGAACAAGTAAGCAAAACCTTCATCTGAGCAGCCACCCAAACCCCCCACTACTTGGTGGGGGGAATGCACGCAATTTGCTGCTCCCTTTTCCAACTTTTCTAAACCAACAACAGTTACAAAGCAAGATTTTTTTCCACCTTCACAGAGGCAGATCTAAACACACACGATATGCAGCTCTAACATCTGAAAACATCCCGTAATGCTCCGAGGGATGCACAGATAAAGAGCAGGCACGCAAGTAACTTTGTTTGGGGAAGAGGGTAATGTTTGTTGTTGGTGGAAGAGCATTTATAGCAATCAATCGTTCTTTTTCAGAAAAGTTTGCTTTAAAGAAATAATTGGTAACACCTTGGCTTTATTGCTATTATTGGACTTCGTTTTGATACACTATTCAAATGACAGACCACCTTCTATTATGGCTGTTATTAAGTGACTGCTTAATACAGTAACTTTTTTTTTTTTTAGAAAAGGTAAGCTATGACAGGTTATAGTCATTCCATTCTGAGTCTCCTCAGAAGTTCAACTACAGTTATCAGTTATCTGTAAACGAAGAATGCAGGGGCCATAATGTAGGGGAAGTTGCAGCCAAACAATGTAATGTTGATAGAAAGCAAAGATGAGAAAGGAATAAATGATAATCTACTGTCAGCTCAACTGCAACCTTCTCCTCGTATGATTCCTTCTCTTTGGTTCTCACTGGAATCGTTTATTTCCACAGAGGAAACGTAAGAAGCATGGTCAGATGTTAGAGCAACACTTGGGGGGGGGGGGGAGGGAGTGGGGTGCTGCTTTGCTAGCAGATGTTCCCAATCTTTAAACAAAACAACTCTGCCTCCAATCCCATATAACCACTGTGCGGGAGAAGAGACATGTAAATGTCATTGAAACAGATCTTCCTTCGCTAGGAATGTGTCTCAAATGGATCTGGGCATTTTAAGGCCTGTAGGCCCCATCTGGTCCTTTGGCTGTCCCTATATGGCCCGTGTGAGGTCAATTGGAAATTAGAAATCAAATGTAAATAAGTATACGCGGGCACGCAATACAACCACATTGCTTTTTTTTTTTTTTTTTTTTGAAGTTGACTAATTCCCCCCGCCCTAATTTCTGTATGTATGTGCGGGGCCTACGCACCTTCACAGCCCTATTGGTTCAGCCCTCCACAACAGTCCCTATTTCTCATGTGACCCCTTGGGAGAATTAATTGCCCACCCCTGGTCTACAATTTGATCACTCAGAAGAACCGAAGGACAGGATTAAGTCCAAACCAAATATTTGAACTCCATTGATTATAGTGAGAAATATTTAAACAGATACTTAGGTTTATCATCAATAGAATAGAACAGAATCTGGAAGGGGCCTTGGAGGTCTTCCAGTCCAGCCCCCTGCTCAAGCAAGAGAACCTATACCATCTCAGACAAGTGACTGTCCATTCTCTTCTTAAAAATCTCCAGTGATGGAGTGCCCACGATTTCTGAAGGCAAGCTGTTCCACTGGTTAATTGTCCTCACTGTTAGGAAGTTTCTCCTTAATTCCAGGTTGCTTCTCTCTTTGGTCAGTTTCCAACCATTGTTTCTTGTCCTGCCCTCTGGTGGTTTGGAGAATAGTCTGACCCCCTCTTCTTGGTGGCAGCCCCTCAAATACTGAAATATTGCTATCATGTCGCCTCTGTTTCTTCTTTTCTTTAGAGTAGCCAAACCCAAGTCCAACATGAATAGATTTTTTTTAAAAGAAGTATACCAATCGTTAAATGTAGTTCTGCCTCATTTCTAATTTAGACTGCAATTCTTTTACTGGGGCATGAGTATGATTGAATCAACAAGCTTAGGGCAGCATTCCTCAGATCTGCTAGAAATCTTTGGGGACTAAGGCATTAAACAGATTTAGATGCTGACTATTTCAAAACTCAGGTTCATTCCATATGCTTTATTTTCTTTATTATATTTTACGCAGTTTATTGTTTAAACAAAAAGATCTTGATTATTTCACAAAATTGTATTTTAATTGGACTAAAAAGTAGTCATTTGCCTCACTCTAGTATGTGGAGAGAATTAGACATACTGCAAAAAATAGAAAAGCAAAGTGCTAGTGGCAAAGTGTATTTCACACCGATAAAAAAGTGCATTGTAGGGAAAAGCCACTTACCTGCTTGCTTTGAATCCTTTTAGTTTCTGTACAAAGAATGACTCAAGAACCTCTGCACACTGATAAAAAGGAGAGTCGCTTGGATTGTAGTAACGACAATTGTCAAATATTTTGGTCATGTCGGCCACAAATTCCGTCACCTTTTTATAGTAACGCTTCAGTATTCTTTCCTCCATGGTGGAAAGATCTTCAAAATAAACAAAGGTTATTCAGAAACAAAGCTCAATCACTGGCAGCATTAACAGTCCAAAGCCGCAGAAATATGTCAGAAAAGGAACGTACATTTGACTAGAACGCCAGTCACGTGCGCAGAATTCATGTATTTGGGGCATTATGTGAAACCACTGAGCAGGTAGCAAGAAGAGCTCCTCGTTGAAGATGATCAGATCAAAGGAAAGACAGGTTACTGGGCGCATTATCCCTAGTTACAAAGATGCACTTTTGAAAAATTCTGTTTGAAGAGGGCCCTCTGAAAGTTATACAGAGGCATCTCCCCTGGAGACCGGTTGGCTTTTATACCCTGAACTCTCTGGTTCGGAGTTTCCTTTTTAAAAAAAAATTACCCCAAGTAATTAGTGCATATAAATACGCTTAATTTCTCTTGAGCGCTCATTATTTCAATTCAGAACCTTGTCTGAACCTTTCAGTGAGTTGCAGCACAAAGAATGCAGTGTGATCAAGGATCCCAGTTGGTAACTACCGGTCACAATAATAGGCGAGCTGTACAGGAAGCGTCAGGAAGTTACAGTTCCTTGACTCCGAAACATTTTGTGCGCTTCTCATTAAAGAACTGGAAAATAGAACAGTATCTAAAAATGTAAGGCGTCAGTAGCCTTAACCCACCCTTTTGCTCACAAATGTATTTAAACTCAAAATGTTATAGCACTGCTAAAAGTAAGGGCAAGCAGACTTGATAATTTAGTTAGAAAACCCTCATAATGGCTTACGCAGGAATATAACACACTGATTAAAACACCAATTTTCAAGAAAAGTCTTCAGAAACAAATAGGTCTTCAACAGGAGAGAAGGACATAATTAAGAAGATAAATGCCCTCACCAAATCAGATGTGTTCTGATCCCCAGTGTCATGGCAATAAATATAGAAGACATCTGGCTTTTCATCAACCATGTCAAAAGTCAAGGAAT